GGGCATGCTCAGTCCTCTTTTTTTTCCTGTAGTCCACAATCATCTCCTTTGTCTTGGTCACGTTGAGGGAGAGGTTGTTATCCTGGCACCACATGGCCAGGTCTCTGACCTCCTCCCTATAGGCTGTCTCATCATTGTCAGTGATCAGGCCTACCACTGTTGTGTCGTCGGCAAACTTAATGATGGTGTTGGAGTCGTGCCTGGCCATGCAGTCATGGGTGAACAGGGAGTACAGGAGGGGACTGAGCACGCACCCCTGAGGGGCCCCCGTGTTGAGGATCAGTGTGACAGATGTGTTGTTACCTATCCTTACCACCTGGGGGCGGCCCGTCAGGAAGTCCAGGATCCAGTTGCAGAGGGAGGTGTTTAGTCCCAGGATCCTTAGCTTGGTGATGAGCTTTGAGGACACTATGGTGTTGAATGCTGAGCAATGAATAGCATTCTCACGTAGGTGTGCCTCTTGTCCAGGTGGGAAAGGGCAGTGTGGAGTGCAATAGAGATTGCATCATCTGTGGATCTGTTGGGGCGGTATGCAAATGAGTGGGTCTATGGTTTCTGGGATAATGGTGTTGATGTGAGCCATGACCAGCCTTTCAAAGCACTTCATGGCTACAGACGTCAGTGCTACGGGTCGGTAGTCATTTAGGCAGGTTATCTTAGTGTTCTTGGGCACGGGGACTATGGTGGTGTGCTTGAAACATGTTGGTATTACAGACTCAGTCAGGGACATATTGAAAATGTCAGTGAAGACACTTGCCAGTTGGTCAGCACATGCTCGGAGTACACGTCCTGGTAATCCGTCTGGCCCTGCGGCCTTGTGAATGTTGACCTGCTTAAAAGTCTTACTCACATCGGCTACGGAGAGCGTGATCACATAGTCATCCGGAACAGCTGGTGCTCTCATGCATGCTTCAGTGTTGCTTGCCTCGAAGCGAGCATAGAAGTGGTTTAGCTCGTCTGGAAGTCTTGTGTCACTGGGCAGCTCGCGGCTGTGCTTCCCTTTGTAGTCTGTAATAGTTTTCAAGCCCTGCCACATCCAACGAGCGTCAGAGCCGGTGTAGTACGATTCAATCTTAGTCCTGTATTGACTCTTTGCCTGTTTGATGGTTCGTCAGAGGGCATAGCGGGATTTCTTATAAGCGTCCGGGTTAGAGTCCCACTCCTTGAAAGCGGCAGCTCTACCCTTTAGCTCAGTGCGGATGTTTCCTGTAATCCATGGCTTCTGGTTGGGGTATGTACGTACTGTCACTGTGGGGACGACATCATCGATGAAGCCAGTGACTGATGTGGTGTACTCCTCAATGCTATCTGAAGAATCCCGGAACATGTTCCAGTCTGTGCTAGCAAAACAGTCCTTTAGCTTAGCATCTGCGTCATCTGACCACTTTTTTATTAACCGAGTCACTGGTGCTTCCTGCTTTAGTTTTTGCTTATAAGCAGGAATCAGGAGGATAGAGTTATGGTCAGATTTGCCAAATGGTGGGCAAGGGAGAGCTTTGTATGCGTCTCTGTGTGTGGAGTAAATGTGGTCTAGAGTTTTTTTTCCACTGGTTGCACATTTAACATGCTGGTAGAAATGAGGTAGGACGGATTTAAGTTTCCCTGCATTAAAGTCCCCGGCCACTAGGAGCGCTGCCTCTGGATAAGCGTTTTCCTGTTCACTTATGGCCTTATACAGCTCATTCAGTGCAATCTTAATGCCAGCATTGGTTTGTGGTGGTAAATAGACAGCTATGAAAAATATAGATGAAAACTCTCTTGGTAAATAGTGTGGTCTACAGCTTATCATAAGATACTCTACCTCAGGCGAGCAAAACCTTGAGACTTCCTTAGTATTTGATTTTGTGCACCAGCTGTTGTTTACAAATATACACAGACCGCCACCCCTTGTCTTACCGGAGTCAGCCGTTCTATCCTGCCGAAAGTGGTGGTGTGTGCTAATTGTTGGGGTGGCCATGGGGCTGGGGATCAGACATGTCCAGTGCGAGAGAAGCAGGTTGAGGTATCCAAGGTAAGAGTAGAGAAGAAGTTGTCATATTGCGGAGGCAGTGAAGAAAGTAGAGGAAGATGGGTCAAGGGGGAGGGATCCTGAGAGAAATGGTGTGAGTAGTAGAGATGTACCAGTACAGAGGGATAAACCAAAAAGTGATATATGGTTCAGCAGGATTGGATTTTTAGCATTTATAGCAATGGTTATTAATTGTACTGCAGGGATGGAATGCAAATTGAATAAAATTGAGGTGGTGGTGACAGCTGCAGAGAGATATTTGGGTGTGCGAGACTTGACAGCAGAAGAGTTACAGGGAGTGTTAAGTGGTGATGTCCCATCAATTCAGGTTGAGGGCATGAGGTAGGAGTGAGTGTATTTAAACAGTGGAGAAGGGTGGGGTTAATCATTAGTTGTAGTGTTTAAGTTGTGAGTGTAGTGTTAGATGGTAGGATATTTCTTTGCTTTGGTTTATTTTATTTTTCAAGGAAAGATAAGGGAGTTGAACTCCAGTCTAGTAGGTGGCGGTAATGCAACAAATCCGCCGTTAAACCTCATTGAAGAAGAAGATGATGAACGTAATGTGATCCTCCACTAATGTTACTTGTAAACAATATGGCGGCGCCCTGTGCTGCTAAACGTCTAACAAGAGCAGGTAAGAACTCCCTAATAATCAATATTCCGAGATGATCCTTGCTGTTTGGTTGATCTGTATGTGGTGTCAGGTTGGGTGGAGGAGAGGTTGGGGATTGTTGAATCGGTGAAGGTAACTCAGAGTGGAGTGTTTCCTCCACCCAGAGCCGATGGAGAGGGCGCTCGGGATTAGGGACAATAATTGTGACATGCTTTGCTCTCCGGAGTAGGGCGCCGTTGAAAGGAATGAAAACGGGGGTGGCATTAAGTGTTGAGGAGGAGCAGTTGAAATGGAGGATTCCCGGTGTTTGTAACACCCGTAGATCTGTATCAAAATGTATGAACTCACTAACTGTAAGTCGCTCTGGATAAGAGCGTCTGCTAAATGACTAAAATGTAGATCCGGTGGGGAAACGGAGAATACATTATCTGTCACCAGGCGTGTGTGACACCGTGTGCTAGCACGCTAACTAGAACACGGTGTCCCTAACTAGCAAGCAAGCTAACACACCTGCTGTTCTAGTGGGAGGCGGGGCGACACTGTGTCACTAACAAGCTAGCATATGGTGTCGCCCCAGGCTCCCGCCTGCTGTGCTAGCGGGAGGTGGGGGCGACCGGTAGACAGACCTTCACCCCCGCCTGTCGGACACTGTTATCCCGCAGTTCTGTTAACGACGTCAAGTGTTCGGCAGGCGGGAGCAAGGGTTGCCAACTCCTCAGTAAGGAAAGTAGCTATTCGCTGCCCTAAAAGTCGCTAAATGACATCATCACCTAATTTGCATAATTTGCCATGTGCATGTAATTGTGATGGACGCTGTAGAAAAGAGAGGAATATTTATTTAACTAGGCAAGTCAGTTAAGAACAAATTCTTATTTACAAAGACACTGGGACAATTGTGCGCTGCCCTATGGGACTCCCAATCACAGCCGGTTGTGATACAGCCTGGAATCGAACCAGGGGGTCTGTAGTGACGCTTCAAGCACTGAGATGCAGTGCCTTAGACCACTGCGCCACTCGGGAGCCCAATGTCGTGGGAGAGACAAAAAGTGAGTACAAAACACCCTATATTTACATCGCGGGCGGGATCAGCCAGCGGCAGCTTCCCGAATGCGCGATTCATTTGCAGTCTGGACGCGGAGGGGTGAACATCTCCTGCTCTGACTGCAGCTGGGAGGGACTGCTGCGCGAGGACTGGGCCGCCTGTGAGTGCTTTGGGACGGGGGTGGGGCCCACGGCAGCACCTGCTGCTCGTTGAGAAGAGTAAGAACAATACGTGCTTTCACGTCAGAGTTTCCAAAAGTCTCCAATAACACCAGAAAAAGTCACTAGATTTGTCACTAGTCGTTTTTTGAAAATGTGTCGCTAGAGGGGTCTGAAAAGTCGCTAAATTGGCAACACTGGGCGGGAGCGAAGGACACTGTCTACAGGACACTGTCTACGGGGGGGGGGGGAGTCATGCAGGAACCAATGGGATGCTCGAAGGGGGAATGCCCACATGTAGGAATGCCCCGAATTGCGGGCTGCAGTTGCACACTATTGTGCATCTGCGACAGCCCAAAGGCGGACACTGTATTGGTTTTCCAACAGCAAGGCTCAGATCAACATGGCAGTGTGAATATTGCTGCTATTGTTTATAAACGTTTTTTCTGCATAAATGTCTAAATAAACTTTTCTATACCCCCATATTACACACTCACAAACTGAAAACGTAACGTGTGTGTGTAGAATGAATTGGTTAGGGAGAGGCAAAGTTGGTACCTGTTTCAGCCAAGTCTTTGGCCACGTTTGTGTGGGTCAAACAAAAACACCCTAATGATTGGTTGACAAATACTACCTCCGACAATGCAGTTGGTGAGAAACAACTTAAAGGCGACTTCATCAAAAACTGCTTGACCTTTGATCACATGGTTTTTGTAGTTAATATTGCAAGTAGGACAATTTTTATAACCATAATGCAACACACTTTGAAAGGCGACTTGACAAAAGTGATCCACTCAAACGCGCCCACAAGAATACAAGATTTACAACGCATCACTTACCTCATACATTGTGATACAATAAAATGAATGTCCTCTTTGCCCCCCCCCTTCTGTCACACTCTTCCCCCTCCTTCTCTCTTTCTCCCTCTCTCTCTCTCTCTTCCTCTCTCTCTTTCTGCCACAAGGACCTACAAGCATTGCTATTGGGTTATCCTGTACAAGAGAAGGGCTCTGGGTTTGTGTGTGAGAGAGCGATAGAGAGAGGTGTTTGTGGGTGTGAGTGGGTTTAAAGTTAGAAAGTTATATACTGTTTAGAAATATTCATATGGGCTATTAGGGGTTTAGTTTCCTTTGCGGTCTGATTATCTGTATGTCTGTCTGTGTCTGTCTCTTTCCAGGGTTGGGGGGTTTCCTCCAGAAGGGGTGTGGTCTGTGGGGGTGTAGCCCACCCTGGGGCGTCCAATCCCAGCAGCACCGCCGGTTCTTCTGGAGGAAGTGGAAGAGCTTTCACAGTATAGTCAGACCGGGTGTGGTCAGACCAGCCTACTCAGTGCCCAAGGTACAGTATGTACTCAAAATCCCACAATTATTCACATACCTCGCTCTGCCAGACACTGCCCACCCACACAGTGCCCAAGTTACAACGCATCACTTACCTCATACATTGTGGTACAATAAAATTAATGTCCTCTTTGCCCCCCCCCCCTTCTGTCACACTCTTCCCCCTCCTTCTCTCTTTCTCCCTCTATCTCTCTTTGTCTCTCCCTCTCTCTTTCTCTTCCTCTCTCTCTCTTTGTCTCTCTCTCTCTCTCGCTGTCTGTAGCACATCCTGAGGCCTGACTATGTGAACAGTGGTCAGGTTCCTGACTGGCCCGACTACATAGAGATCAAAGACCAGGAGCAAATCCAGGGCCTGACGAGAGCCTGCCAGCTAGCCAGACAGATACTGCTGCTGGCCGGACGCAGTCTTAAGGTGTGTGTGTGCCCGTGTTATAGTGAGAGAGTGAGAGAGTGAGTCTGTCTGTTTTCTGACATTCCAAGTTAATAACATCATTGTATTCACCTCTGACCCCAGGTTGGTATGACGACAGATGAGATAGATTTCATCGTCCATCAGGAGACGATTCGTCACAACGCATACCCTTCCCCCCTGAGATACGGGGGTTTCCCCAAATCAGTCTGCACCTCGGTCAATAACGTGGTCTGCCATGGCATACCTGACACCCGGCAACTGCAAGATGGAGACATTATCAACGTTGATGTGACTGTGAGTTTTATCCCCCTTCATGCAGACACACACACATGCACGATCCACCGTTCCACATTCCTGACCCCCCTCCCCCGTTCATCAGGTCTATCTGGAGGGTTACCATGGTGACACCTCCGAGACGTTCCTGATTGGCTGTGTGGACGAGGTTGGGCAAAAGCTAGTGGAGACAGCCAGGAAGTGTAGAGATGAGGCCATCACTGCCTGTAAACCTGGGGCTCCACTGTGTGTTATAGGAAACACTATCAGGTACACACACACACACACACACACACACACACGATACCTCTGTTGTTTTGTATAATCTAATGTCCCTCTCTTCCTCCTACAGTGATATAGCCCACTCCAATGGTTTCCATGTATCTCCCTACTTTATTGGACATGGCATAGGCTCCTACTTCCACGGCCACCCAGAGATCTTGCACCATGGTAAGTACCACACAGCAACAGTTGTCTGTGGTCCATACAGTATATTGGACAAATCCTAAATATCGCTTTCTCATTTATCTGACAGCTAATGACAATGATATGACCATGGATGAAGGGATGTCTTTCACTATAGGTCAGTCACATTTCCTATGTATATCAGTGTGTATTAATGTCAACCTAAGTGTGTGTAGCTAGCTGTGTGTGTTAACGTTGCATCTGTGTATGCAGAGCCCATATTGATGGAGGGATCATCAGAGTTCAGAATCCTGAAGGACAAGTGGACAGCAGTGTCTGCGGACGACAAGAGGTAGGCCACTTACAGCCTACATAGGGCTGAGCGTTACGCCCTAAAAGGCTGGAGAGTTACAGCCTACAAAGTGCCACTGATATCCTTGTACAACCTCTGTGTGTGTGTGTGTGTGTGTGTGTGTGTGTGTGTGTGTGTGTGTGTGTGCGTGTGCCTGTCTTTAGGTCGGCCCAGTTTGAACACACAGTAGTCATCACCTCTGGTGGAGTGGATATTCTCACCAAACTACCTGAGGAGGACGAGCCGATGCCAATAGAAGTGTAATTACTGTTCTCAGTTCAACAACCCTGTCACATCCACATCTATGAAGAGGTAAAGCACCAAACTGACCCAGGACCAGGGCTTAGTGCCACAGAGAGAATAGGAAACTGGGCATAGATATGATTCAAATGAGACTGCACTACTGCATTCTTTTGTATGTCTGCTGTGTAGAAAAATAAGTTATATTATTTAAATAAAATGTTTGTTCACTTTCAATTAGTAAACCAGATCTGTCTATCCTAATTTTTTTGTCTGACAAAATATTTGGAAACAATATGTGGTCAATATTGCTATAACACATTTGGACTAGGACTTTTCGATTCAGGAAATCAAATTGATTCCAATCAGAGGAGAACATTATTTTCTATGACTGACGTCATCATAAGATGATCTTGTGTTAAATTCATTAGGACTGCAAGGTTTGTAGAGTATTGTAAATCTACTGGGCTGATTGTCATGACATGATGTTATTGATGCTGTGTTTGGCTTCATGATGTTTTCTGCTCTACTAATAATCTCTAATGACGTCAACCTCCAGCTCTACATTGTTAGCAACTTATTTTGTACTTCCTCTTGTCCAATTAGAAACCACATCCTATGTAAACTCAGCAAAAAAAGAAACGTCCCTTTTTCAGGACCCTGTCTTTCAAAGATAATTCGTAAAAATCCAAATAACTTCACAGATATTCATTGTAAAGGGTTTAAACACTGTTTCCCATGCTTGTTCAATGAATCATAAACAATTAATGAACATGCACCTGTGGAACGGTCGTTAAGACACTAACAGCTTACAGACGGTAGGCAATTAAGGTCACAGTTATGAAAACGTAGGACACTAAAGAGGCCTTTCTACTGACTCTGAAAAACACAAAAAGAAAGATGCCCAGGGTCCCTGCTCATCTGCATGAACGTGCCTAAGGCATGCTGCAAGGAGGCAGGAGGACTACAGATGTGGCCAGGGCAATAAATTGCAAAGTCTGTACTGTGAGTCGCCTAAGACAGCGCTACAGGGAGACAGGACGGACAGCTGATCGTCCTCGCAGTGGCAGACCACGTGTAACAAGACCTGCACAGGATCGGTACATCCGAACATCACACCTGCGGGACAGGTACAGGATGGCAACAACAACTGCCCGAGTTACACCAGGAACGCACAATCCCTCCATCAGTGCTCAGACTGTCAGCAATAGGCTGAGAGAGGCTGGACTGAGGGCTTGTAGGCCTGTTGTACGGCAGGTCCTCACCAGACATCACCGGCAACAACGTCGCCTATGGGAACAAACCCACCGTCGCTGGAACAGACAGGACTGGCAAAAAGTGCTCTTCACTGACGAGTCGCGGTTTTGTCTCACCAGGGGTGATGGTCGGATTTGCTTTATCGTCGATGGAATAAGCGTTATACCGAGGCCTGTACTCTGGAGCGGGATCGATTTGGAGGTGGAGGGTCTGTCATGGTCTGGGGCGGTGTGTCACAGCATCATTGGACTGAGCTTGTTGTCATTGCAGGCAATCTCAACGCTGTGCGTTACAGGGAAGACATCCTCCTCCCTCATGTGGTACCCTTCCTGCAGGCTCATCCTGACATGACCCTCCAGCATGACAATGCCACCAGCCATACTGCTCGTTCTGTGTGTGATTTCCTGCAAGACAGGAATGTCAGTGTTCTGCCATGGCCAGCGAAGAGCCCGGATCTCAATCCCATTGAGCATGTCTGGGACCTGTTGGATCGGAGGGTGAGGGCTAGGGCCATTCACCCCCCCCCAGAAATGTCCAGGAACTTGCAGGTGCCTTGGTGGAAGAGTGGGGTAACATCTCACAGCAAGAACTGGCAAATCTGGTGCAGTCCATAAAGAGGAGATGCACTGCAGTACTTAATGCAGCTGGTGGCCACACCAGATACTGACTGTTACTGTTACTTTTGATTTTGACCCCCCCTTGGTTCAGGGACACATTATTCAATTTATGTTAGTCACATGTCTGTGGAACTTGTTCAGTTTATGTCTCAGTTGTTGAATCTTGTTATGTTCATACAAATATTTACACATGTTAAGTTTGCTGAAAATAAACGCAGTTGACAGTGAGAGGATGTTTCTTTTTTTGCTGAGTTTATATCACTGAGGAGAGACATTATTTAAAAAAATGTTTTAGTCATTTAGCAGACGCTCTTATCCAGAGCGACTTACAGTTAGTGAGTGCATACATTTTTCATACATAATTCTACTGAAGTGATGCCTTTTAATGGGATAGGGTCGGATTTTGTCAATCAAGACCTTTTTCTACTTACCCAGAGTCCGGTGAACTCATAGGTACTACAGTAGCGTTAGCGCAAATGCTAACTAGCATTAGCGTAATGACTGGAAGGCTAGCTGTTCCCATAGACTGCCACTAACGCTAGTTAGCAACTTCCTTCAACCTGCACGCAGAGACATAAAAATGGTATCCATGAGTTCATCTGACTGGGGAAGTAGAGAAAGGGCTTAATTGCCAAAATCTCGCACTATCCCTTTAAATTCCTTAGGCTACATTCTTCCCTTCTCTACAATATGGCACATTTGTTACACAATATTCAATCTCAACAACGTTATTCTCAAACATACAGGAATTCATTGAAATAAACTAGTCAAACTGTTCATCTGCTACATTAAAAGCCCAAATCCGTCATATTTCTGCCAGGTGAAAGCAGTCCACACAAGTCTCTTTGGTCCCGTATATCAGTAAATTGACCCCACATCATCTGTAGGATTAGATTGCTGATGTAGTACTGGATTCAGCTGGGAGAGTGCCACAGAGTCTGTTGATGAGTACCAAGAGTAGTTACTGTAAAATGATGGGGCGTTTGTGTTCGGAGGCATAAATCCCGCTCTTTGCTTATCTGTAATCCCATGATTCTGGAGGCCCCAGTGCACCGTTGCTTGAGGAGAGCTGCTGGACCGAGGGGAGTCACAGGGGGTCTCCTGCTGTCTTGGTGGCATCTGCCCATTTCTCCACAGCTTCAACTTGGAGCGACGGTTCTGGAACCAGATCTTCACCTGGGAGAGGAGTAGACATGCAGAAGTACAGTGGGGAGAACAAGTATTTGATACACTGCCGATTTTGCAGGTTTTCCTACTTACAAAGCATGTAGAGGTCTGTAATTTGTATCATAGGTACACTTCAACTGTGAGAGACGGAATCTAAAACAAAAATCCAGAAAATCACATTGTATGATTTTTAAGTAATTTGCATTTTATTGCATGACATAAGTATTTGATACATCAGTAAAGCAGAACTTAATATTTGGTACAGAAACCTATGTTTGCAATTACAGAGATCATACGTTTCCTGTAGGTCTTGACCAGGTTTGCACACACTGCAGCAGGGATTTTGGCCCACTCCTCCATACAGACCTTCTCCAGATCCTTCAGGTTTCGGGGCTGTCGCTGGGCAATATGGACTTTCAGCTCCCTCCAAAGATTTTCTATTGGGTTCAGGTCTGGAGACTGGCTAGGCCACTCCAGGACCTTGAGATGCTTCTTATGGACCCACTCCTTAGTTGCCCTGGCTGTGTGTTTCGGGTCGTTGTCATGCTGGAAGACCCTGCTACGACCCATCTTCAATGCTCTTACTGAGGGAAGGAGGTTGTTGGCCAAGATCTCGCGATACATGGCCCCATCCATCCTCCCCTCAATACGGTGCAGTCGTCCAGTCCCCTTTGCAGAAAAGCATCCCCAAAGAATGATGTTTCCACCTCCATGCTTCACGGTTGGGATGGTGTTCTTGGGGTTGTACTCATCCTTCTTCTTCCTCCAAACACGGCGAGTGGAGTTTAGACCAAAAAGCTCTATTTTTGTCTCATCAGACCACATGACCTTCTCCCTTTCCTCCTCTGGATCATCCAGATGGTCATTGGCAAACTTCAGACGGGCCTGGACATGCGCTGGCTTGAGCAGGGGGACCTTGCGTGCGCTGCAGGATTTTAATCCATGACGGCGTAGTGTGTTACTAATGGTTTTCTTTGAGACTGTGGTCCCAGCTCTCTTCAGGTCATTGACCAGGTCCTGCCGTGTAGTTCTGGGCTGATCCCTCACCTTCCTCATGATCATTGATGCCACACGGGGTGAGATCTTGCATGGAGCCCCAGACCGAGGGTGATTGACCGTCATCTTGAACTTCTTCCATTTTCTAATAATTGTGCCAACAGTTGTTGCCTTCTCACCAAGCTGCTTGCCTATTGTCCTGTAGCCCGTCCCAGCCTTGTGCAGATCTACAATTTTATCCCTGATGTCCTTACACAGCTCTCTGGTCTTGGCCATTGTGGAGAGGTTGGAGTCTGTTTGACTGAGTGTGTGGACAGGTGTCTTTTATACAGGTAACGAGTTCAAACAGGTGCAGTTAATACAGGTAATGATTGGAGAACAGGACGGCTTCTTAAAGAAAAACTAACATGTCTGTGAGAGCCGGAATTCTTACTGGTTGGTAGGTGATCAAATACTTATGTCATGTAATAAAATGCAAATTAATTACTTAAAAATCATGCAATGTGATTTTCTGGATTTTTGTTTTAGATTCCGTCTCTCACAGTTGAAGTGTACCTATGATAAAAATTACAGACCTCTACATGCTTTATAAGTAGGAGAACCTGCAAAATCGGCAGTGTATCAAATATTTGTTCTCCCCACTGAATATGAGGTGTTTGAAATTCCCATCATATGTACAAGCGCACTGCAGTCAAGTGCCTTACATCTCCATACCTCTAGCCAGAAAGCATATTGCACTTATATACAGTGTACCTACATATGAAATACATTTAGCATAATGAAAATAATACTATTTAAAATCCTCCATCATGGTCAGAATATGAACATAGTGCACCTGTGTTTGTGTGAGTCCCAGTGACGCGGCAATCTCCGCGCGCTCAGGTAGCGCCAGACACTGCCTCACTCAACCTGCTCTGGAGCACACACAGCTGCAGGCTAGAGTAGAAGGTTCTAGGCTTCCGGACTTTCTTTGGTTTTCCCTTTACCATTCTGACTTCTGTCTCCTTCTCCTCTTTCTCTGAGAAAATGTGTATGACCATTAGTAGGCCTGTCATTGATCTTGGTTAACCCAGAACTAAAATCTTGTGTAATTTGGTCAGATGTCAGTTCACCAGAGGTAAGCCAATCATTGATTTACACAATGTAGCCTGTGCACTAGGTTTAAAACAAAACCTGGCATAAAGAACCAACACAATGTTTCTGAAAAGTACAGAAATTGCCACATCATAGGCTACTAAAATGGAAAGTACAGGCTAGTCATAAAAGGAGAGTATTGGCTTTGACTTTCTGACTGTTCTGTCCTCTCCACTTCATTTACTGCTGCCTTGCTCCCACATGTGGATGTGCATAATTGTGCTTAATTGCCTGTTATTGATACATCCACATTTTGGAGCAGACAGTGGAATTTAATGATCAAGGTTGACCATTCTGACATCTGGATCCTTCTCCTCTTTCCCTGAGAAAGAACAAATAGCTTTATGTTCCGCTTCTAAAAAGGATTGTATTGCCCATTAGCTGTCAGGTTTGGATGTGCCTGTGCGTAATTCATTAATACAAACGGTGACATTCAGTGATCATGGGCACAGCCACACTGGAATTCACAGGCTAAATTATACAATATATATGAATCACGTTGCGCACCTGTGTCCGTGGTGAGAGATGAAGAGTCCGTATATGATCCATAACAATCGTAAGCGGTAAGGAACCCAAACTCATAAATCTCGGGACTGTAGTGACCGTTATTCCCGTTTATAACCATCACCGGGAAGAAACGAATTGGTGTCGAAATCGGTAAGGTTGGAGATTCCTGTGATTCGTGCATGGTGTAGTGATTTGAAGTTGTATGGGTTGATTGCATAGCTGTGGCAATAGTCTGTAAAGTTATGGCGCCATATATCTATGCAAACCTGTGCGAATAATTGCATTCTAGGATAATAAAAGTCCTCCAGGGAGAATTCTATTCAAAATGTAGTTCTCCAATGTTCAAGTCTCCATTGATTGCCTCTCCTTAATAAATTCATCAAATTGCCCAAAGTTATTGTGATATAACGAATAACCCGCTCTTCTGTTTTTACTCAATACTGTAGCCTATATGTGGTTGAGTGGTGTCATCTTCAGGTTTCGAGGACATGGAATGAGTGAAGCTTCAGGTGTCTGCTCGTCTGGATGAGACGGTCTGTGGAATGAATTGTCTGGTGTGACATTACCCGGGAGACGAATGGGTGGGCAAGAAGCCAAAGAAAAATATCCTTGACAGTAAGACACCTTGTGCACCTTGTCGTCAAAACCCTTAAAATACAGTCTATATTGACAAATGTTTTATATTTATTTATTTATTTTTTGGGGAATAGGAATGGACAACGTTTAACTTTTTCACGCAAATAATGTTGAAGGCTTTGGATATTTGTTGGGCGCTCTCTGCTCGAACTCACCTTCAGATCAGCGAGAGGTGATGGCGGCATCTGGCGGTCTTCTTGTGATACTGCTACAAGCCGGAAAACACTTCCCCACCCTGCTGTACACACTTGATAATTACCGATGGCGCCAGTGCTCACCCTCACAGTTGAGCAAAACAACTATTACAGCTGACTGAGATGACAGAGTGTATATTTACACTGTCTGTGTGTGCCCACCATGCATTATGTCTTACCACCAACTCGACTGTAAATACACTGAGTGTACAAAACTTTAGGAAGACCTTCCTAATGTTGAGTTGAACCCCCTTTTGCCCTCAAGAACAGCCTCAATTTGTTGGGTCATGGACTCTGTAAGGTGTTAAGTGTGTCCACAGGGATGCTGGTCCATGTTGACTCCAATGCTTCCCACAGTTGTGTCAAGTTGGCTGGATGTCCTTTGGGTGGTGGACCATTCTTGATACACACGGGAAACTGTTGAGCGTGAAAAACCCAGTGTTGCAGTTCTTGACACACTCAAACCGGTGTGCCTGGCACCTACTACCATACCCCGTTCAAAGGCACTTACATATTATGTCTTGCCCATTCACACTTTGAATGGCACACATACACAATCCATGTCTCAATTGTTTCAAAGCTTAAAAATCATTCTTTAACCTGTTTCCTCCCCTTCATCTACACGGATTGAAGTGGATTCAACAAGTGACATCAATAAGGGATCATAGCTTTCACCTGGATTCACCTGGTCAGTCTATGTCATGGAAAGAGCAGGTGTTGTGATCAACAGCAGCAGCAGCAGCAGCAAGTGGGGAATAGGCTAGGCTAGGCTGCATCTCAATAGTCTAAAGTTGCTTCCTCTCCTTCATCTGCCTTCATCTGAAAACACAGGCTAGGTGAAAGCAACATGGTGGATGCCCACCAGGAATCGATCATCACCTGTTCAGTTCCGGTTCATTGCCTTCACGTCAGCGTTGAGTCATGGGGATGCATGTAGGACTACTGTTCCTTTTTAAGGCATGTAACTACATGGCCAGTAGATGGCACTGCACTGCTATTTATGCTCAGTCCACTGAGTGTGAATAAGTGACATTGACAACTGTGTGTGTGCCACAGCTTCTGCCAACATGTCAGGATCTTGGCATGTGGTAGTGCACTCACCATATTTCCACAGGGTCGCTGGTTCAAACCCAGCTCTGGCTGTTCCCTTAGTTGCTACAATGTGTTGTTTAGGAAAAGAAACACAAACATGAAGTTTACTGCTACTATATTGTCAAAGTAATGTAAGCCAAACTTATGTTTCAAATCAAGCTTTACAGTTACCCAGAAACACTAAGAATCTATTGTAGGGCAAATTCCTGTAATAGTTGAGAGGCAGTGGGTGCATTCTTCATCCTTCTGTTCTCTCTTCTGGTTCCAGGTGGCTTTGATAAAGCATTTAGAATTGTGTTCAGAGAATATCCAACCAGAGCTTAATGTATTGATGAATAACAGATCAGGCACATCTTACCATACACACACGCATACACACATACATACATACATACATACATACATACATACATACAGTTGAAGTCGGAAGTTTACATACACTTAGGTTGGAGTCATTAAAACTCGTTTTTCAACCACTCCACACATTTCTTGTTAACAAACTATAGATTTGGCAAGTCGGTTAGGACATCTACTTTGTGCATGACACAAGTAACTTTTCCAACAATTGTTTACAGACAGATTATTTCCCTTATAATTCACTGTATCACAATTCCAGTGGGTCAGAAGTTTACACACACACACACACACACACACACACACACACACACACACACACACACACACAGCAATATAATGATGACTATGACACAGTCATTTGGCAGTCTAAGGTGTGCAAAACAGGAAATGTGTCAGCACTGATGCATAAACCCTTTACTCTGGTGTAGTACAGTCAGACCTCGCAGAGGATTATGTTATTGATAATTAATGTAATATTCAATATTTTATCAAATGAGAATGTGAGTTGAGTGTGATGTGAACGTTTTGCTTTGACCTGGTATAGACAATCCTTACAGTATGTCTGCAGTATCCCTATAGTAGAGTATGTTGTGTACATTAGCTCCACTTTGAGGGAATTGTACCCAGGCTTACTGTAGATAATGATTTGACCAATTAACTCCTTGCCCTCTGTGTGTGTGTACCTAGTGCCAGTGTGTCAGTCATGAGTGTGTGTGTGTTTGTTCTTATGCTCCTGTCAGTGTGCCATCTACATAGGTGTGTTCTTCCTGTGGGAATGACCGGATCAAATAAAGGAGATATTCTGCTTGTTTGTTCTCGCTGTGCAGATTCACTCATCTCTATATCGTAGGAATCTGGTCATGCTCAGTTATCTATAAATTATGTGATTTATAGATCAGATTATGACATTATCTAAGCAGTGCCTTGCTAAGGAGAAGCAGAATTCTCTTCTGCTGAAAAGACAGGATGTATAGTGAATGATTGAGTAAATAATGTTAAGACATATCAGATGTTGCTGATGTTTCAGCATTGCCTGTCTCAACAGAAGCTTTTTTCCTACCTTGTCAGATTTTGCAATGCTTGTTGAAAAAGTATAAAACAAACTTCATTTTTTTGGAACATTTTGTTTATTGGTTTTCACAACATTCAATAAAGCTGTCATGTGACATTCAATATTTAAATTTGACAAGCACAGCAAATATATACATCACACAGACATATTGTACCATTCAATAACACCTGCATAGACAATATATACCAACACACCATTCTAGATACACCATACGCACAACAATGAAAACAAACTTCCTTAACAAAACAATTTGCAAACTTTAACATAGTATGTGGTTTTGGGGAAAAAAAACACCACAACATTTCAATATTTTTTCTGGTCAGTTGGTTTCTTCAGTAATGTGTGGTATGTTATCTCATCTGGATAAGACAACAGGGTGTGGGTTTATAATTAGCTGTATTTGTAAGGGAGTAAAAGTCGTATCCCTGTACAGTCAGTTCCTGTGAATAAGTTAGGTAAATAAAGGTTACTGTGCTCCATCTGGCTGAGGTTTGGATTGAGGTTTGGATTGTGACACACAGAGCTATGGTATGCACTGAGAATCACTGATCACCAGGGGAATAAACCTGTCAACATGATGGGTCTCTGGTGAGGACAGGAACCAAAGCTCAGCCACAGTGCTTGAGGAGAATTGTGTGTTTGTGTCGACCTGTGAGGGGGAGACAGGGAGGTAGGAGAGAGGTGAGAGACAAAGGGTGAGCGCGACAGGGAGGAGTATGAAAGAGTTGGGTTTGGCTGGGATGGCTTGTGGGAGGAACATTGATTTTGGGAGAGATAGGGAAGGGTTAGGATGTGTGAGGAGGAAGGGGTGGGTTTTGGGAGGGAGAGGGGGGAGTAACTGCAGGGTAGGTAGGGTGAGGTTTTGGATTGTGATTAGTGGAATTCTTTCTCTCTCTCTGTTTCTCTCTCTCTCTCTCTACATGTTGGAACAGATTCTCTCCTCTCTGCTCTGTTTTCTCTCTGGCCCCTTTTTCTTCATGCTTCAGGGGGCTGTTAACCAAGGGAATGACACACACACACACACACACATTTTGAGATTCAAATCACATTTTATTTGTCACATGGGCCGAATACAACAGGTGTAGACTTTACCATGAAATGCTTACTTTCGAGCTCTTTCCCAACAATGCAGAGTTAAAAAGTTTGAAAAATGTGCTAAATAAAAAAGGAAATAGTAACACAATAAAATAACAATAATGAGACTATATACAAGGAGTACCAGTACTGAGTCAATGTGCTGGGGGTACAAGGTAGTTGAGGTAATATGTACATGTAGGTAGGGGTAAAAGTGACTAGGCAATCAGGATAGATAATAAACAGAGTAGCAGCAGTGTATGTGAAGAGTGTGAAAGTGCGTCTATGTGTGAGTGTGTGTGAGTGTGTGTGGTGTCAATATGCGTGTGTGTGTGTGTGTGCGTATGTAGTGTGTGTGTGTGTGTGTGTGTGTTGGAGTGTCAGTGTAGTATGTGTGAATGTGTGCATAGAGCCAGTGTAAGAGAGTTAGTGCAAAAAATAAAAAGGGGTCAATACAAATAGTCTGCGTAGACATTTTATTAACTGTTCAGCAGTCTTATGGCTTGGGGGTAGAAGCTGTTCTTGAGCCTTTTGGTCCCAGATCCTCAGTGATGTGGATACTGATTAACTCGATGCTCCCGACCCACTCCACTTCAGCCCCGACGATGTGAATGGAGGCGTGCTCGCCCCACCGTTTCCTGTAGTCCACGATCACCTCCTTTGATTTGCTGACGTTGAGGGAGGGGCTGTTGTCCTGGCAACATACTGCCAGGTATCTGACCTCCTCCCTATAGGCTGTCTCATTGTCGTCGGTGATCAGGCCACCTACCACAGTTGTGTCATCGGCAAACT